CAAGCGCGACCTGCTCAGCGCCCAGGACTTCCAGCAGCTGCTCACGGAGCAGGCGCCCACCTTCCTGGCTGCTTGTGTGAGTGCAGCGCGCTCAGGGCTGGGGACAACACGGAGCGGGGACGCGGTGGCCATGCAGCTTCCAAACTTGCCCTTGTCCCCTCTTACAGGGCAGGAGCCGCCGCGGCTACCTGGAGAACCTCTTCAAGGAGACCGATATCAACCGGGACCACGAGCTCTGCTTTGAGGAGTTCAGCATCGTGCTGGCCAAGCTGGCCGATGACGCCCATCGCATCAGCCACAGCAGCGACCGCTGCGGGCAGGAGGCCGACTGAGCCCGCGCGGCTCCGCTCGGGGCCACGGGCTCCTGCCCGGCCGCTCCCGTCCTGCCTGCCCATAAACCAATAAAGCATCACCTAAACCAACCGTCTCCTTCCTATTCCGCCTACATCCGCCCCATGGGAGTGGGGTAGGTGCTCGGTTCATTTATGCCCAGTCTCTTCCAGACACAAAATGAGCAAAGGGCAAAATTACCAGGAAAAGGCATCAATTTCCACAAGGATAATTCACAGCAGGATGTGTCCTCACCAGCACGACAAGCTGGGGGCTCTTGGTGCGTCCTGGAGGACACTTTCCCCATGCACATTAAGGCTTTCTGCTCGATAGGGAGTGTATTTAACTCTCCTTTCCCCAAATTCCAGAGGAAAACTCAAAATGCAGCTTTTTCCACCAGCTCCCTCCTGATCCCCTCATCACCCCATGCCCCTTGATGGGGGAAGCCCCCGGGTGCCCAGCCAGGCCCTGCTCTGGGGGCGCATCCCGCTCGGAGCCGGGGCCCAGCCCCGCGCTGGCTCTCGCTGCCGGCACAGGCGGATTTTGGGCCGCCGCCGCGGGCCCCCCGGCCAGGCCGCTGCTCCAGGTCAGGAGCGGCCCCGGGTGCCTCAAACCAGACCCGTCACCAGCCATGCGCCGGCACCGCGTCCCGCTCCTTCCTGGGCACCTGCGTTTGCTCAGCCCCTCACGGGGCCGGGGGCAGAGCCCAGGTGCAGCCCCAGCCTCAAAACGCCGGGATGCCAAGACCGCAAGAGCTGCAGTTTCCTGAAATTGCCACAATTCCGCAACGGGGCTGCCGGTCCTCACTGCCCTCTTGTGAAATGTCCCGGCCCTGCCGTGCACCAAAATATTGTGAAATGCATCGCGGGCCCTTAGCGAGCGCTGCCCGTGCACGGTCCTGCCAAGCATCTGCCCCCAGTCCCAGGGCGACGCTGGCCTGGCCCGACCCGCACTTGAAGAAAGTGGCGCCAGAAAATCTTGTCCTGCTCCTGCTGCAGCCGCCCGGGATGGGTCGGCCACGTGGGGACACGGCCTCCGGGTCGGGTAAAAATACACCTTGGGCCCCACCCTGGCCCTGCGGTTTGAGGAAAAACATTGACTGGGGAAAAACCGGCTTCGGCGGCAGCTGCTCCGGTGGTGCCGGGGCCAGATGGGGTCCACCAACGCTGCCAGGGTGGGCGCTGGAGCGAGGCAAAGCTCTGCACCGCTTGGGGCAGGGGAAGAGCTGGGGGTGGCCCTGGGGGCACCTCCTTGGAGGTGCATGAGAAGCCCCCAAAACCTCAGCAGAGACCAGACCCGATGGAAGCAGTGGAGAAGGGGGCAGGAGCTGCAGCCTGGGTCGCTGATGCCACCGTGTCCTGGCCGCCTCCCGGCGGGATGTGACGCTCCGGCGTTTCGGGAAGAGCCGCAGAGACCTGTTTGAGGAAGTGGCAGCTCCCGGCCTTGGGCAACGCAGGACGATGTCGCGAGCACGGACTGGAACTGCACGAAACGGGGGGTGTTTCACAAGCGGGGGGCGGCCGGGAGGGCTATAAGAGCCGCCGCTCCAGGAGCATCTCCACTCCGGTCCGAGTCCGCACCGCCGCGTTGCCGAGATGAGCCAGGTGAGTCGAGGGCTGCCGGGGGCTTTTCCTTCTCTTTTCCAGGACCGGAGCAGTTTGCAGACCACTGACCCTCCACCTGCGGTGCCGCTTGGGTTTCCTGAGCTGCCAGCTGCAGTGGTGGCTCCAGCTCCAGCTGTTTGGCCGGCGGCTCTTCCCAACACATCCTGGTTATGCTGGAGCCTTGCTGGGCAGCATCAGCAGCCCTCTGGTCTCCTTCATTTCTCCCTCCATCCTCCTCCTTGCAGACCTGCCAGACAGCCCAGGCACCGCTCTCCGAGCTGGAGAAGTCCATCGACACCATCATCGATGTCTTCCACCAGTACTCGAGGCGGGAGGGAGACAAGGATACCCTGACCAGGGCAGAGATGAAGCTTCTGCTGGAGAAGCAACTTGCAAACTACCTGAGGGTGAGTCCAGTCCTGGGAGATGGAGGAGACCTGGGCTGGGATGTGGCCAGAGCGTCACCTTCCCTCCTTGGCCCTTCCCTTGCAGCATGTGAAGAACCAGAGCTCCCTGGACCAGATCTTCAAGGACCTGGACACCAACAAGAACCAGCAGCTGAGCTTCGGTGAGGTGATGATGCTCATCGTGCGGGTCACCATCGCCACCCACGAGCACCTGCACTTCTGCGAGGACAAGCAGGGCCACCAGCACGAGCACCAGCACCAGCATCACCACTGAGCAGCACCAGCGCCCCCCGCCGAGCCGCAGACCCAACCACGTCCCTCCTCACGCGGCCTGTCGCTTCCCCACCGGTTAATAAAGATTTGCTGATGCTGTCAAAGCTCTTGTGGCCATTGCGTGGGTTTTCCGCAAGGGATCAGTCTGCCCACCGATGGGGATTAAACTGAGGGGGTTGTAGCAGGGTGGGGGTCTAGGAGAGGTGGGAGCTCAGGATTGAAGGAGCAAGGGGCTCCCAGAGCACCATGCTGCAAATCCCATCCCAGTGCACCAGAGCTGGGCAAAGGGAAGGAGCATCCCCATCCGCCCGGGATGTAACGGAGCGCAGGGCTCTGGGTCTGCGGGGATGGTCTCTGCTACAGACCACAGCTCGTGGGAGAGCGCAGCGGGGAAACATCCTCACCAAGCTGCCACCGAGGCAGGCAGGGGGTCACCGGCAGAAGCAGTTTGGAGGAGGGAGCGGAGAAAAAGGAACCCTCGTGATTTCCCAAGAGCGCCTCGAGCGCTGAAATCGCCGGGCGCCGTGAGGAAAGAGCCCCGGCTCCCACCCGCGCCCATCGCCGCGGCCTCGCTGCTGTTTTAGGGCCAGAGGCTCCTATTCCCCTCCAACACGACTTTGCTGGGGGCAGCTCGCAGTTCCCACCTCCCGTGGCCTCTTCCCGTCCCTATGGCTCGCGGTGCAGCACGGGCAGGTGGCAGCACGGCCAAGGACGGGCACTGGAGCCACCTGCACAGGTGGCATCGCCTGCCCTGGTGACACTGGCCCTCCTGAGCACTGCAACCCCCCATCAGCTCTCATCCCTCCAAGGGGCTCAGTGGTGCCCACAGATACCAGGTCTGCACTGCAGATGCAGGCTGCGTCCCTCCTCCTCATCCTGAACCCGGGAACACCCATGCATGACTCCTCATCCCTGCAAAATAGCCTCACGTGTCCCTGCAGATCCCCCACATCCCTGCAGACCGTGTCCCTGCAGATCCCCTTCCAGCTCACAGCGAGATCAGCATGAGGAGCCCTAGCCCTGGGGCTGGGTTTTATGAGCGGCCGCGGGGATGCGGCGCAGCTGTGCCAGGCCGTGCCGGCACCTGGAGCAGCGGGAGGCAGGAAAATCACGGGTGACTCAGGGCGATTTCCTCCCCGCTTCCCCGTTCCCGTGGCGGAGCGGGATGCTCAAGGGCGGCGAAGGCCTCGTCGGTGCATCCTCCTCCTCGCGCGCCCGCTGCCGTCACCCCCAGGAAGGGCCCCGTTCTCCCGCTGCGGCCCCCGCGCTGCCCTACATTCCCGGGGGAAACACCCTGCCGGGGAGGTGCTGCCTCCGGAGAGGCACCGGGAACGGGACGGACGGGCAGAAATCCGCACCCCTCCGCCCACCCTCCCGGCTCACACGGAGCCGCGGGAGCTGCTCCCCCCACCCCAACCGCGCC